AGGTAAATAACTGTCAAGGTTGAATGACTGGAAATTTTAGTATACTGAATCATAGGTATTCTTGAAACACTAATTATTTGTGGTGTCAATTGTGCTGTAATTAGAAGGTTTTGTGCAATTGTGGTAATTACATTTACAAGTTACTGGATTTCTTTCTACTGAAATGGGTCGTTTATGTTGTTCTCATTCTGTCTAATTGCTCAATTAAAGGCTTGATATTTTGTGACAAATATAGATCGAGAGATTGTAACAACAAAATAAATATGTTTAGCCACTACTTTTTAGTGTGGTTCATGTACGGAGACGTTAACCCGACCTAGTTGCAGTCAGTGCACTGGAAGAGATTAATGGTCGAAATCAGTGATGATTTTTTGAGTTCTTACGCTTGAATATCATCTTTGAGTCTAGTCATACACATGCGGACCATTTTCGTGTATACTCTTTATTGATTTTCTTTATCTTGTTAAGAAGGAAAGCAAATCTTCTCATTGCGTTATTATAACAGGTTTCAGTTTTATATTCTTTTTGTTATTTATCAGAAACACATTCCAGTTAGCGATTCTATCTTTTGATGATGGTGAGAAATGTAATAACTTGAACTAGTACAATTTGCTTAGGTTTATATGTTTTTATTTTTGTTTATTCATATTTTGTGTGTCCTTGTAACCTTTTCTTAGTGGGATATCATCACCTGGCAACTGCCCAGTTTACCGAATCAGCCTAAAACTCTACATGATGAACATGTTTCCACAGAAGATAATAGCAAAAGAGAAGGTAACCGTCAATTCAACGAAGCCGATGAAGAGGATATCTTGAGAGAGGGTGAAGATATTCAACTTTCTATAACACCATATCCTCCACAGCTAATGCCAGTTTTCATACCTACAGTAAGTCAGTTTTTCACAAACATAAACATTATCGATGAGAATTATAACCAACCATTAAGGAATAGTCTTCATGCAGTGATGACCTCAGTTCTTTCTCTCATGATTTCACCAGGTCACTAGCGCATTTTAAGCTAAGATAAAATGCTGATGTTTCCCGTGTGTAGTCTCATGGCCAAATATGTAATACAGTATGCTCCCATGTTCCCATGTAGACATTTAGAAAACAGACTTACTGAGCGAAGAATAAATTTATTTGCAATTAGATCCCCGTCTTTGGCTGTACACTGGGGTTTACAATTCAATCAAAGCACCAATCAAGCTGTGGAAATTGATGAACCATAACTACAAATTTCAAGTAAGTCATGGAGATGATAAGTTTGGGAAGTTAAGATGCAAATAATCAACAGAGTTAACTAGTCCCTAGTTACTAGCCGGTCCTAAGCCCGGATAAAGATGGAAGATTGGACATAGGGATAGCAAACCTACCCCGTAAACCCAATCCAGTTGCTAAAGAAACTTCAAAGCACTAAGAAAATATAAAAAGCAAAAATAAATTTATTCCTCGTTGGAATCGAAGAGACGAAATGACGCCAGTTAGTGAAAGCCTTCGGGAAGCCAATTCGCCGATGTGTCTTCTCTCTCCCTCGATGGAAGCGAAAGTAAGTATGGGGACATGGAATGTCCGCACCATGTTTGAACCTACTAAGGCTGCCCAGATTCTAAAAGAAACGAGAAGGTGTGGTATTGAAGTGCTAGGAATCTGCAGATGGAATGGAAGTGGACTCTGCAAACTGTCAACTGGAGAGTCAATAATCTACTCGATATTGTCACCCAGACGACAACTACGAGCACACTGAGTTTTGGAGTGGCTATCATGATGTCCCCAACAGCATCGAAGGCTCTCTCTCTCATTCAGTGGGAACCAATCTCTTCCAGCATCAGGATCATGACAGGAAGATTCAACTCAAAAGGAAAGAGAGTCACAATCATACAATGCTACGCTACACTACACTACACATCTACAAATAATGCAGATGAAGAGGAGAAATTCTACAGACAACTGCAATCAGTACTGGACACGACCCCATCCCAGTTGGCGACATCAAAAATCATTCTAATGGGTGACATGTTTTAATGCGAAACTGGGAGCAGACAACTCAGGAAGAGAACTGATCATGGGTCGAGAGGCACTCGGTGAAATGAAGAATGAGAATGGAGAATTGTTTGCAGACTTCTGTGCATTCAACGATTTGGTGATTGGAGGCGAGACAGTGTGTACAAACATAAGGACATTCACAAGGCAGCGAGCGACATGGAGTTGATTTCACCAGACACCAGGACACATTACACTAACAATCAGTTCGACTTGATCTCAATGTGAAGAAAGTGGAAACGCAGCCAGCCTACTGGACACAAGATCAGATGAAGAAGAGGAGCAGATGAAGGTGGTTCACACCACTCACTATATAGTGCAATGAGCCTACCTTCAAAATCAAGTTGAATGCTTTCAGAGAAGCTGGTGATGATAGACCACAGTTCAAGTTGAACACCCAGAACAGAGGCTGAACTGAAGGACGAGACTACAAAGGACATCTTCATGTCAGTCATCAGGAACAAATGGAAGACATTGAGCAACATCCTCGAGGAAACCAGCGTGGAAGAACACTCTAACTCTTTGAAAGCTATGTGGGAAGAAACCTGGATAACCGTATTAGGAAGAGGCAAGATAAAGAATGGATTACGACGGACACATGGAAGCTGATAGAGAAATGAAAGGGAAATGATGGAGCAGTAGATGAACCAGTGCAGTGCAAGGATGAACAGCGAAAAGAGGAACTGAACACAACCTGTAAAACACTACACTGGACAAAGAAGTGAAGAAGAGTGCGCGCAAAGACAAAAGACACTTTTACAACACACTGCAAGTGAAGCAGAACAGGCTGCAGGTAGGAGAGACAGAGACCTGACAACAATATATTAAAAATAAACAGTTTACTACTATCTGGGAGGGGAGAGGTCAACGTAGATGAGACCAATGGAAGATAATGAAGGGAACTCAGCAACCACCAAAGTGGCGAAACAAAGGAAACGATGGTTGATCACTTCAGAAAACTCTTAAATCGAGCACCCCGACCACCTGCGACTCGTTCAAAAATACCACCAACAGCCGAGCCACAGAATTACCAGTGAACACAAGTCCTCCGACAAAAGCTGAAGTGTTTGCCCGAACGCCACAAAGTTGCCGGAATCCAGGAAAGCAGCAGGACCACATGGAATTCCTCAGAAGCACTGAAAACAAATGCAAAGACAACAACAGCGGACATGCTCACACACTACTACTACTACTACTACTACTACTACAGAAGGTTTGCAAGGAAGGAAGGAAAGTTACCTGCTGATTGATTGAAGGGAGGGCTACCTGGTCAAACTCCCAAAGAAGGGAGACTCGAGTTTTTGCAAGAACTGGCATGAAATCATGCTCATGTCCACCTCAAGCAAGCAAAATATAATGCCGCATCATCCTGGAGAGAATAAAAGGAAAATGCTCTGCATTCAAAATTACGAGTGGAACGGGCTAACTGGCTTCAGCAAAAATAAATCATGTGTGGATCAAATTGCAACACTGCACTATGCATCATCACAGAAGAAAGCATAGAATGGCAGTCAACTCAACTCTGCCTCAACTTCATCGACTTTGGAGAGGCCTTCGGCAGCGTCGACCGAGAAGTAATTTGTCAGGCAGTTGCTTGGACACTACAGTTTTAGTGCCACAAACATTTATCAACCTCATTCAACAGCAGCTATATGCTGTATGATGCTACATGCCAAGTGATTCTCAATGGAAAAAAAACTTAGTGACGCCTTTGAAGTGAAGACAGGAAGGAGTAAGACAAGGCTGCCGCCTACTATTACCAGTGATCTTGCTGATTGTAGTCGTGGACTGGACTGGACTGGACTGGACTGGATAATGTAACAAAGTGTGAGAAGAGTGGCATACGCTGGCTGGACTGATGAAAAGAGCCTAGAAGATTTGGATTTCGTCGATGATGATTTATGTCCAATGTCTTGTCACACAAACTCGAAGATCTACAAGCAAAAACCAACAGAAGAGGCAGGGCAGCGAAGATGGGACTTCAAGTGAATGTAGAGAAGATGGAGGTGATGAAGATACCCACAACAACAACAACAACAAGCACCATGAATTGGAGAAACCTAAAGGAAGTTGTCTCTTTCACCTACTTGCCTAGGCAGCATCGTTTCAAATACAGGCGAGGACGGCACAGATGGAGACGTCAAAGCCAGAGAGGATCGGAAAAGCAAGACAGGCCTTCATTAATCTGAAATCAGTGTGGAGATCAACTGCACTGCACTCGACATGAAGCGTGAACAAGATCCGGATTTCAACACTAATGTCAGTCAAGTCAGTGCTTGTATGCGACGGTTCAGAAACTTGGCGTTATCAGAAAACTCAAAAAGTATGACGATGCATGCAATTTATTCTACCGAAGAAACGTTTGTTAAAGACTACAATACACTGAACTGGAAAGTTCCACAAATGACTGCAGTTTATGTGCTCAGATTTACTTTTAGTAATAAGGAAAAGATGTCTTTCAACAACCACTACTGCTGTATCACTGGTAGATTTCATATAGTTTCTGGTCTAACATTGAATGACTACTATAATTCTATGAGGAATCTGTCCATCAACTAAGCTAATTTGCTTTCAGTAAAAAGTAAGCATCAGTGATTACAGATATCTCGGTCTATCATAGTAGTGCAAAATTTTGAGTACTGTAATAACTTGCATTCACCTATTCTCACTGCTTGTTTTCTATTTCTTTATTTAATCATACTTTGACTCTCGTCATTTTCTGTGCGTTATTGTGTGTGGTAGCAGCTTTTCATATCAGCCGGACCATGGAGCTTACACTTTTCATATATATATATATATATATATATATATATATATATATATATATATATATATATATATATATATATATATATATATATATATATATATATATATATATATATATATATATATAGATCGTCTGTCGCTTGCATCAAACGTCTAGCGTATCATATTAAAGTTAGATGTGGAAATCTAAGCGTTCGAAGTAAAACAATTGATGAAATGGGTTGCGTTGTATAAAATGTTTGGGTATGTATCACCTATCATTAAATTAGTTTCAATTTGGAGGTTTGTGGGGACTTATGGATTCAGGTTTGTATTCATCGTGGACTGACATCATTTGGAGAAACAGTGGAAATATGGGAGCACTGGATATCTGTTTCGTCCTGGTATGGACGCTGCAGTGCACACTCTGTTGTGACCGCGGAACCGAAAGGTCCTCGGTTCGATTCCTTGAGGTATCAGGGATACACACTGCTGAGGAACCACACACAGGAGAGGAAAAACTCCCCAGTGCTCCCAGGTATCCAGTATTTCTTTAGCTGATGCCAGTCTATGATGAATACCAACCTGAAATCTTCAACATGTTTGTTATGGTAACAGGAAACTAAAACTGGTTATGCTAAGCAACAGGCTTTGAATTTAATGGAAATTGGTACATATCATCTGGAGTACTGTACTGTTTTAAAAAGGTATTCAGTCTATTTGAAATCACTGGTGTACAGGCTTTATCTATTCTATCCTTTTTATCATTATCATCGCCATTTTTCCCTCGCACTTTTTTCGCATAGTGGATTTTCGCGAAAACTGATTAGATGCAACACTGCGCATTGATGTAAATGCCATTTAAGTTAACCAGGCAGTTTAATCTACTCTAAGTACAACTGGTTTCATCACTTGAAAACATTACATGTAGTTTATAAATATCAGCACATTGTTCTTTCTATATTGTTTATTCGTTTTAGTCACTAGAAGACGGTTATGCTCGCCTAACTTTGATATCGAATTCATCCGCTCGATTTTTTGTACGTATCTGTGATCACATTGTTGCTTTTCAAAATTATTCACCCAATAATCCGAATGTAACGTTGTCAGAAATGTTACTACGTGGTATTAAACGTCATCGTCAGCAAGCGGCTGCCTTGGAAGCTGGTATGCGTTAGTAATTAGTTCAAACTCAAATGCTGGTGACTGTGATCCTCTTCTTCTCTTGGATGAAGTTAATACAACGTTATTTAATCTTGTGAATTCACTAGTGCCTGAATCACCGACAACATCATCACCGGAATCTCCACTACCCACGATATATGGTTTACCGTCGAATTGGCCTACAAAGGTTGATTTGAGACAATCGTTGAATTCAAGGGAATTTCTGCAGAGGTTTGTTTTACTCTGTATTGTCAGTATTTGGGGCATTTAACAGTACTCATGTATAAGTACACCCTTTGAACGTAGCTGTTCATGTGAAATGAACGAAACTCACTCAGCCACCTTGAGCACATCTATGCGGCAAGCACCTACCACACGTATCGTGTGAGGACTAGTGATACTACTTGATTCCTCAAACCTTGGTAGGTGGGGCGGTGCTCGAACCCGTCACCCAATGGTCGGTAGCCATTTTCCTAAACCACTGAGCTACAGCTCCACTTATTCATGCTCAAAAGTTACTCGGTCTAAGAATCGTGTGTGTAACACTATTCGAAAGGAATGAAATGATTGTGTAAAGTCGATTCCGAATGGTACCGAAACATTATGGTACATCATACGATCACTAAAAAAAAGAAATAGATAGCCAAGCTCCGATAGTACAAAAATCATTCATTGAGTCGAATCATTATTAATTCAGCCGAAGAAGTTTGAAAATAAGCTTTAGTGTATATAACCGTTGGGTAATTTATTTCAATTGTAGAAACGCATCTTAGGCATTTATTGATAGGATCCTTGTATGCATTTATACCTTATTCTACTGGCGCTTTCTGTGAATCCAAAAAGATTCGTGTGATCATAAGAGAAGGCAGCTGGCGTAATTGATGTTTCGTTTATTCAGTGGTTTGTGACATTTAAGTTTCAAAAATATTACTTTTAAAGATTGTTGGTAAGCAGTTTGTTTAAAATGGCAAAACAGATGGATTTACTTTGAAACGGTTCTGATACCTGATCTGATTGTACGTTTTCAGAATTTCTAAAACGTTTGAAGAAAATATTACGTCAGAGTTTTAAAATATTTTTTCATTAAGATATTCCCTACACATTAAATCCCTGATACCTTATGAATTGCCTATGAAAACAAGTTTCATTAATCAAGTTACCCTAAAAATCCGCCAACCGAATCGTGTGAATTCCTTCTTCATCTGGTGAAATGAAACAAATGTAAATACATGGCTTATTGCGGATATTAATTTAGGAGTTTGTGGAGATTCATTGATTTCAAGGTAGTTTTCGTCAGTTGTAGAACCATTGAAAACCTGAGAGCTCCGTTCAGTTATTTCGTCCTAATATGAGATTCCTCGACAGTGCATACCTATGATCCCGTCATGGATGGAACCCTGGATCGTCACGTCTCGCGATGAGCCTATGTCTGTTTGCATGTAAACAACAGCTCTGTAGTTTTCTATGACCATTATGTGGACAAAATACTCACTCGATCTATTGCAAGATGAAATCGAATTTTGATCTTAATCACATGATTCAACTAAGGTATAGTGTATAGAAATTTTAGATATTCTGATGTTAACGTATTCACCTCACACTTAGTTGTGTGAACCTATTTTACTTTCTCAGTTAATTGATAAGTCTGAAAGCTCATTCTTGTTGGTATCAGTATGAATAATATCATATAACACAGGTTTCTTCGACATAAAAGATCTCAGTTGTGCAAGTGCTTGATAATTACACCATCACGTGTTAATTATGATTATTTCATTTCTTCATCTCCATCTTTTATATGTATATATATCTTCAGTGAAATTGAGATTTTTGTTTTTCTTATACTGATACAGAGTACTTATCGCACTACTTTTAGACTGAATGACCTTTCCTCATAGTTGTTGAATGACTTTTTATTTATGCGGCCAACCGCAAATTTTATATCCAGTACTCCTTGTTAGCAAGGTAATGACTTCTAACAACAAGCTACAGGCTGTTCACGATCGGTTAAAACCTTATCATTTAGTGATCCTTTTCTAGATGTTTTGTAACGCTAATCAAAGTTCTGTACTCAAAGTCATGGAGTCAAGTAAAGGTTTATGGAGAGTTATCATCTGAATTAACGAGAACTATCAGTGTCCCGCAGATATGCTCACTGCCACCATTCCTATACAAATTCGTTATAGATGTATTTATCAGACGCAACTTTGAGTATATCTGAATTCATACGGATTGATCTACTCCCTCGAGGGCGCCTGCTTGACTTGCAGTACTCAGATGACATTGTCCTGTTAGGTGAGGATGCTGATAAAATACAAAGTCATAAGAACACCTCGACCTCGAATCTGAGTATGCGACACATGCGTTTCGCATCTATCGAATGTAAGATGGTGCTCCCCTCCACAACTGGTCTGAAACTACTCCTGGTTTAAGGATATGGAGTGAATTGGTAGAACGCGTCAATCAATTCACTCAAGTGGAAAATGTCATCAGCTCAAATGACTGATTTGCGCATAAAATCTCAGCTGGAATGCACAAGGCCCCTTTGTCATTTTTCACTCGCCGACTTGCTTCATCTCAACTCCACACTGGTGAGATATCTGAATACCTACTAAAAGGTGACTATACTGCGCACCACTCCATTCTCTCCAGTTATACGGATGAGACATGGCCACTAAGACTAGAAGATATACGGGTTGTTGAAAATGGGTATCTTCATGACATTGGTCTCCTACGGTACATTGACCATGTGAGAGATGTCGAGGTCAGGCGAAGGGTAGCAGGCAAGGAAGACGAGCCAATCGGTGAGTTTGTGAACCTCCAGCGACTGAAGTGACTTCCACGTGTGTCACGCATGCCAACCCACCGCCTTCCTCGGGGTGCAATGCTAAAGGAAGTTGAATTAGGTTGAAATAAGCCTCAGGAAGGTCAGTCCAGCACACGTAACACCAGTCAATCAAGTCTCCGACTGTTTATCTGAGCCGAGGTATACACAACACATTTTATGAGTTTCCAGGCTTGCTATTTGTTGATTAAAATCTTTATTCGTATGGTAATGTATAGTCTTTGTTTTTTGTGTAGTCAATAATTATGCGCGGTTTTCTTTAGTCTTCTTGAAATTCCTATTTCACTAATCGCTCATTGTCATATCTTCTGTTTTTCATGCGTTTGCAACTTCAGGATGCTTGTGTGTTCGATGAACTTGCTTTACTCAGTGATGAGCTAACAACACCTCTTATAAGTCCAGTCATTACTCAACGATTGGCTCCTGTCAGCTGCCCAGATTTAGTCGCTCACTTAGAGCTGATTCATCGCACTTGCCGTCGAAGATGGGCTATAAAAAGAATTGAGGAGAGTTTATCTGATTCTCAGTTGCAGTTAAATACAGAATACACGGGTCGTTTACATGTTCTTAAAGAGCTGGGGTTTATTGATTCTGCTACACAAACCGGTTGTCTCAGTTTGAAAGGTAAGATTGTTTTTTTCCTAATATCTATTGTTTTGATTACTTTTACTTAGTTCACAGATTCAATATCCTAGTACACAACCGCTTGCATATTGGCTGTCGTGAAATGCACAAATATTTTGTACATATTGAATGGCTTGATAACTTGCCTGTTCATCATTAGCTTTCCGCAACAATACTCTTAGGAACATGCGCTTATCTGCGGTAAAACAGTCTTTGGTCAGATTCTAGCACTCAAGTGATGAGAAACCAATTATACTGATCTGTATATTTCGGTAGCCGGGGAAATTATTGATACACCGAAATGCCTTTTCATCTGCCTGTAAGCCATCCACTAATTGACACTGCAGTGATACTTCTGAGTGTTTTTCGTCATGTTTGTTACTTTGACGTTGTTCTTTTCACAAAGAAGAAATTATTTTCTGCAATTCACATTTTTCATGAAAGTCTGACATCAGAGGCTCGGTCATTTTCTACATTATTTCACACCTAACTTATTAAATGGACTAGCATTAACCATTAACTCCACTGTTTTCAATAGTTTTAACCTCTTGAAGATAACTGAGTGACTTTGTGTCATTTTCAAGACTTGATTGCAAATTTCTAGGCTTTCTAATCCAGTTGCTGGTCAACTTTCACTTAGTGATAGATATATGGTGATATGGTCAACTGACGCTTATTTTACTTCAGGTCAGCTACAGTTAAACTGAATAATGAATTAATTTATTAACCGGTGGGCTATCCAGCATAGTACACAGCTTCTTGGTTTGCTGAACAGATATTTTAGTTTATATATAGTTTCGTGAAATGCATTTGTTTTCATGTGATAAACCTCTGTATCGTCCCCATCTTTCTTCATCTAGGTCGAATTGCCTGTGAACTTACAAAAATGGAAGTCTTAGTAACTCAGTTACTGCTTGATGGTTCATTCACGGACCTTTCACCACCGGACCTTGCTGCTGTTTTGTCTTGCTTTGTATTTGATGCACGCGGCTCTGATATGAATGCAGAACAACAACAAGATGCTCAGTATTTGCAAAGTCTTCTTGACTCTTTACGTTATTCTGTTGATTCTAGTCAAAATGTCAGTTATGCTAGTTCGTACAGCAACCCAATTGTTACCTACCCTCCGCATCTTGTACCAACATTGGAAAAAATTGTATTATCTGCTATAAAGGTATGTTTAAATGATTTAATCAGATACATTTCTAAGAATGCAGCTTTTTGGTCGATAACTTACATTGTTTGTTTTTTTTACTGAAAACCTATATTTGTATTTGTATGGATATTTAAACCAAGTTGGAATTTGATCGTTTGGAGAAATTTGGGTATTGAGTAGATGATATTCATCATTTTAGTATTTGTATTTCCAAATGAATGTAAAACAAAACCCACTTGTTGTAACTGACATTTCTCTATCTAGTGCTAATAGCTTCATCAAAGTAATTACAAACCGGAATTCACAATGTCCAAGTTTCTATATAATAATTTGATATGTGTGTGCTCTTTTACGTGAGTGATTCTGCGTTGTCAAATTGTTGAACAAAGATAATATCTTGGTTGTATTGTGTTATCTGAGCTGGGTTGTTTAACCGTGAAGCTTTCATCACCTTGCTAGACGACATCATCAGCAGAGACTGGAAGCCATTATTCTACCTGTGATCAAACCAAAAATTTGGATTCGTTATATAGACGACACTTTTGTCATCATTAAAAAAGATGATATAGAAAACACCCACAGTTTGATCAACAACGTTTTCAGTGACATCAAATTCACAATGGAGAAGGAGTCAAACAACCAACTACCATTCTTGGATGTTTTAGTCAGTAGGACAAATGCAGGAAAGCTGGAAACCCAAGTGTACAGGAAGGCAACACACACTGACCAAATCCTCAACTACAATAGAAACAACCCAACAACACACAAAATCAGTTGCGTGCAGACTCTATTCAAAAGAGCGAGAACACACTGCAGCACAACAACTTCATGGAGAAACGAAGAAAATTACTTGATGTCCACCCTAAAGAGGAACGGCTACCCACGAAACTTTATCAGAAGATGCCTATCCCATACATCACAAACTACAAAGTCATCGACAGAAACCAACAAACGCATCGTCCTACCATGCATAAAGAATGTATCAGAAATCACAAGATTGCTGAGACCACTTGGAATTGGAGTGGCTCATAAACCAAGAAATTCCCTCCAAACACTATTATGCAGACCGATGGATGCAACAGGCAAAGAAGACAAACCAAATATCATTTACGAAATCAACTGCAGTAACTGTAGTCAACACTACATTGGACAAAGCGGCCGCCCTCTTCGCCTACGTCCACATGAGCACCAATCGGTTATTAAACGCCACGACATTTCATCACTCATTTCAATGCACGTGGATAATTATGATCATGAATTGAATTTGGACAATGTATAAATTTTGGACAGAGGAAACACAAAGAAAATCAGAGAATTTCTAGAAGCTTGGTATTCAGGTCAGTCAGTCAATTAGTCAGCAATCAATAGATGTATAGACATAGACCCGATCTGTCAACCAATAAGGAAAATGATAAACGACAGAAAGGTCAGAGGTGAAGCAGAGGAACAGCCAACAGGAAAGTCTATACAATCAATGACACAACAATCGAAGGGAACAACCAATCACAGACCACATCGTCAGAGCAAGCTACTAAATCACTCACGGAGAGATATTGACAGCTCACTTCATACTGAAGTTAGTGCTGATGATGTCGTGTAGCAAGGCGATGAAAGCTTCACGATTAAACAACCCAGCTCAGAGAACATAATACAACCAAGACCATCCACCTGAACTACAAATATTCTCCATTATTTCAAAGATAATATATACATGCAGTGTATTATATGTGGAGTGTATGATTTGCATTTACGCATGTATTGATAGTACGTATCGCATGTATGCTGGTTATGTCCGTGTGTGAGGGGTGGTTCAAACAACGTTCGACTCCCTCATTCCTATTTAGACAGTTTTGATTCCTTTCTATATATAGAGATTCCGCTACGAGACGTTCTTTATAATTACTTAAGCCTTTCTGAATAATTTTGATATTGTCAAAATCGACGTTGTGACCTGAAATTGTAGGCATGTAGAGCTATGACTGAAGTGTTTTCAAGTTCTTTCAGCTCTACTGAATTTTTAGGGGGTTGAATGGGAACCCTTTGGTGTTCGTTTTTTTCAATTTTGATTTCACAAGAAGTTTGTCCTATGTATACCACATTTCAGTCTGAGCACTTTGTTTGATAAACACAAAAAGATTATGAAACCAGAGGGATCTCGTCCTTCAAATGGACTGAGGTGCCCTGCAATGTGTTTGATTTTCTGTAGAACACTGATTTTACACTTGTTGATCACTCTTAATTTCATCCGACGTGTGTGATCTGTATGGGATGACTACTTTTGAGGTTCATAATTTAGGAGCACTTCTACGATGTGACATATTTTCTATTTTACAAATGGCTTTTATTTTAAGTATCTTGTTCACAAATTTCAATTTCTTAACTCTGGTTTTCATCCATTGTTGGAGTTTGTACTCTCCTCAAAAGACTGGAGGCACCAGAAATCTTCGCACTGTTTGAATGTGATGAATTTAAATCTTTGTTCGAATCCTTTGCTTTCCTGAAAATAGTCATACCTAAATGTCCATTTTCTTTCGACCTAAGAAAACAATCAAGCGAGAGCAGTTCGCCATTATCTGTTTCTTTTTCTGAGCTGAGCTTGATACTGGGTGATTTAAAGTTCAACTAGTTTATGAATACTTGGTATGAGTCACGTTTTAAAACCACGGACTTGTCATCAACATACCTCAGCCGAATTGTCAGCTTTAGAAAGTGTGCAAAAACGTTTTCTTCAAATTTACTCAGAAATAGGTTTGCTACTATGGATGAAACAGGTGAACCCATAGCTAGCACTAATTGGAAATCTAGTATATAAAGAATTGATATCATAGACTACCATAATTTCATCTTAAATTTTAAGCAAAGACATTTTGGACTTAAAGTCAAATTAGTCCCTAATTGTGTATTCTGAGTACTTTTGTAAGGGTTTCGATACTGAACCCAGACATTTAGAGAGGTTTTGCATTGATGTGTTGATAAAGTTCGTAATCGGTCTCAGTGGACTATGTAATCTTGAAGGTAAGTAAGAATTAGGTTTTCGTTTGAAGCGAATTAAGTTACCAATTTCGGCTTTCAGTTCCAGAAACAGTCTATTTGTGCTAAGTTTCATGTTATTCAGTTTGGTGGATCTTTTTTTCTCATCAATTAAAGAGTATGGTCCTAGTTTCAGCTCTTTGTTCAATAACTTTCAACGCAGAATCATTCATGCTGAAGAAACGCCATATCAAGTTATCATATATAAGCTTGACTATTGTAAATTCCGGTTTACTATAACTTTGATGAAGCTATTAGTATTAAATGGAGAAACGTCAGCCACAACGAGTTGGTTTCGTTTTACATTCATTTGAAAATACACATATTAAAATAACGAATATCACTGTTATGTATTTACCACTACTACTGATTAGCTAGCTTACAACTTCTTGTTTTTTTAGTCTTAAATGATGTGGTTCTTATTTCGGAGGTAATTCAAATTAGCAAAATGCTTTCCAAAGCTAGTTACAGGGAATAACCATGACAGAAATATATGAATAATGTTGTTTGGATAATTTTCAATGGAAGCTTTCAACACTACCTTATTTTCCATTTTCCCAAAATTCATCCGTGTGTAACGAACTGTAGTTAGTTCACACGGATATAGCTTTGTTTGTGATAAGAATAAATCTGTATGATTGAAATATTTTGTTATAAAAAGAAAATAGAATATGCCTTCTTTGCATTTAGTGTTTCTGCAATTCTAGTTTAAGGCATATATTTGGTCTGATATGCAGCTTCAAATGTATTTATAGGAGTGAAATTGAACTCATCAAATGAACTGATACACAAACCTTGCTTGCATTCCTGTGTTAAGCAGATTCTTAAAAACCTACACTGGGTTCAAGTGGAAAACAACACACTTTGATCAGCCACTAAAGATTATTCAGAATTCTATGCATTCCTTAGCACTGAGGCTAGTACTTACCTATGAAGCTTGCTAATTTGGTCACCGGATCACGAAACTGAAAATTACACTGCACTTTGTTGTATGTTAGATGATTGGAAACAATCTTCGAAAAAAGAGCAAAAACAAATGTATTCACGCAATAAAATGATAATATTTTATCCAATGATTTCTCCCCAGCATAAAACTAGTCTCTCGTTAATGATCGATGAATATATCTAATTCAGTCCTTTATGAAGTCATTCGCCACCTGAATAGCTCATGGGTAGGTACACTAAGTGACTTGCATCCAGATCTCTGTTAGACTATTAGACTCCTCGAGTTTTAGATACGCTTTACTGACAAGTAAAAATTGAAGAAACTCATGTTTTATTGTCTTTTAGAAATATACTTCAACTGCTTGAGTCATGTTCACTTCAAAAGACTGAGATTCTCATCAAATAGAATGATCAGTTTCTAAACGACTTACAAATTGAATGGTCTACGTTGACACTTCTCATAACTGAGGAGTTTTTCAACTACCCAACTGTGGTGCCAACAAGGTTTTCGCTGGAAACCGCTCAGCCGAGATCACAAGGTGTGACATCTGACATAAAGTGCTACGGATCAGCCTGAGTGGTTTTTACCTACTTAAGTTGTTTAGTAGTAGTATAATCTTTCGTGGGATTCTCCTTTCTGTCTTGACAGCTACTTCTCTGCAACACTTCTCAGTTATGACAAGGTTTTTTGTAAGTACATGACCACTAATTCCTGTAATCCTTACAAAAGTGAATTCTGTTTGAATGATTACCTACTTCGTTATTATCTTGATCCTTTAACCGGTCTGCGTTGTTTGTGAATTTCTACGCCTTAAATTGTAATTAAGGATGAAGATTGAGGTTTGACGTACTTCGGAGTGACATTTCACTGAAAACTCTTTCCGCTGGTCAACTTTCATTTCTGGATTACGGTGAATTTAAGCTTGTTACAATCCTCTTCAAGCTCTCATTTAATTAGTCCGCTTGGAATTGATTAACTTGAAGATATTTTTCATCATGAGATGATATCATTTGTAAAATTGTTGGAAACGTTTTACTATATTCAAGATAAGAATTCCATACATCGTAGGCACCAGATGTACTAGAAGCTAGCGAGCACCAAATAACCTTGTTCTTGACCCAGTAACTTGTTTCTCAAGGTCAGTTATTATTGAAAGGTTATAAAATGCCTTTAAGCCTCTTGTCATTTTTCTTTAAATGATGTTGATTGCTGATAGAAACTATTTGTATGCTTGGCAAATATAGTACTTAATCTGTTCACATCGCCATGTACATCAGGCATTAACTTTCTTTTATTTTTCTAGCTTGAAGAATTACAAACTAAACACGGTCTTGCCGACCCATCAACTGATGCACGAGTATCTTTTCAAGTTGTGAATGCTGTCTATGGTTGGGCTCAAGGTTATTCATTCTCATCGCTGGTATCTATGACCAGCGTTCCTGAAGGACATTTAATCCGTGGTTTTCTTCAACTCGATGAATTGCTCCGTCATATATGCAGTGCTTGTCATCACCTTGGTGACAAAAATCTAAGCTTACGAATGACAGAAGCGAGAAATGCAATATTACGCGATCTTGTTTGTGCACCAAGTTTGTATGTTGCTGATGACCTTTTATAAACTAATTCGTGCCTAATATGATTTTCTTCTGTTTAAGCGTTTTGTGAGTTTCTTTTTTTGTCTCTGCTTTACTGGTCTTTGTAATTTTTTTTATATAGATATATATTGTTTATTATTGATGCATTTCGTATGTTGCAACGATTTTTATCCAAGTGCTCATACCAATGAATGTTTGAATCTGTTTAACTAACTCTTCAGTCTGCCTTTTCTGCTGATATTTCTAGTGTGTATATTCCCATATGAGATATTTTTCTGTGAACATTTATACCGTTATCAACAAATTTTTCGTTGATTTGTTATTTCTTACTAGTTTTTTCAGCATATTTATACCTCTTTTTCTTTCTGTTGTTGTGTATAATACAATGGAAACTATTTGTAGGGTGTTACAAATGCTGAATATTCATATGGCAGCTAGTTAGTTATTTACTAAGTATACTATTTTATATTATTACTGTTCGTTTTTTAAAATTGTTGATTAAATAGACTGTTTGTGATTTGCACTATAACATAACGTTTGTGATGACCGGAAACTTAGAATATCTTTACGCAATATTTTATCTGTACACGCCTAATATACAATAAAGAATATATAGTTTAGCGACTGTTAATGATATCAATGATAGTCATTCACAATGGTGGATATTTTCACTATCAAATTCTCGCTCCTCCCATAAAATTTTGTCTACTTTGATATCACTCTTTCCAGCCACGTATTCTTTTTGTACTGCTGTGAAGTGTGGCAAGTTGAACCGACCCACTACTGCGCAAGGTTCTACGTTGATTTTGTCGATCTGACAGAATTAAGAAAATTGATTAAGTGATGTAATATTAGATGTAACTAAGTTATTGAAGAAGGAATACTGACATCCTATACATATTAAAAAATGGTTTTGAGATATTTTGCGTAAAGCCTCTGGTCAACTAATCGAAAGTTATGCCTTTCAGAAAAGGAGACAGTATTTATACGGAAGGCTCACTTTTTAGTAAACTAAAGTAGTTTTCAAGTTTAAAATGCCGGTAATAAACTTCTCCTAGCATGCTTACCTCACATAATGTTGTAATTTTACAACAGTGTATTAAAACTAATATCGCCTTTGTAACAGTTCACAATGCCGGCCTAATGTGATTTATTCAAGCATTGTTTTCATTAATGTATTTTGCATGAAAAACTGCACACATAGGCTTAAATGAAAACCTACAGAATCGTCAGGTACGCAGTTGAAAGGGTCTTGAATTTGTCAGTAATGATTTTTAGCTATACACATCAGTCTACTTTGTTAATCTAAACTTGTTTCATTCAGTAACTGCCGGTAGTACTAACTGTTTGTATTCTGCTCTTTTTTCACATCTGCAACAGAAGAGAGATCGGTAGTGGAATTGATAGTATTTTCATTGATCTTTCTCAGTTTAAGAAAATGTTTGTGATCTAATCTGATACAATTTTTGTCATTATCAGGTTCGGTCTGGCTTATTTAATACTGAGTTATTCATTGAAGTCATTACTTATTGTAAAAAACTATGTCAAAAAAAACTATCAATACAGTGAATATCAGTAACACAATGTTGACGCTGCATAAAAATTCAACGTCAGTTCAAACTTAAAATCGTTGTGTTTTGTTAACACTCAAACGAAGCTTATCTGATTTACCATTCTATGATGACGTCACTATTGAATAAGTACAATAAGATTCTACCACTGAAATGCCATAGGGAACTACATGACTACTGAGATGGTGTGGAGCTGATAAAAAGCTAACTTGAATACAACAACCAAACTTTGGTTGACTTGCTGATAGCTAAGTCTCTGATTTCGTCGGATTTTTCTTTCATGATAGTCCAACAAACTATACTGTCTAAAACAATAGATTGTATGGCTTCCCCAGTTATGCGGGAGTCGATTGAAGGGTAATAAAACAAACGACTTACTGCAACAGTATGAATGAATAACACTGAGATAGGAATATGGACGTGTATTGTAGAGTTTCTTTCAGTAGGCAACAGTTCTGTCTTTTCATAATTAGATGGATCGGCCAGGATATCTCAGTCATGAAATTAGTTCTCATTGACAGCGGTATTGTTATGTGGTATTCAAAATTCCCCAGTAGATATACTTGCCTGGTTTTACACTAGATATTAGAATACTTGAAGCATGATAAAGTATTAGGTCAAATTATTACTACAGTCGAAAGCGGTTGCTGAGAAATCTTGCATTTTTGGAAAGTGTTACATTCTTATAATCAGCACCATAGACCATTTTCAGATGGTTTGTTTTCAAATACACGAAGAATGTAATTTCGGACTCCATGCCGTATTACACAACAGCTTCGCTGCATTCTCAAGATAGATGAAGTGTTCGTAAAAATATATTGCACCTTCCAGGATGGTGGAAATGTTTGTATGTATGTTTGATAATATAAACAGTCAATCTACTGCATGGCATTAAGATTATCCTGCCAAAGTTTGAATACTGTTTTCACTCATAGGTTCCAAAAATCATCTGAATGTCATCGAGCTCATGCATTGAGTCACACAGTTATTTCGGTATCTAATTCAAAAGTAGTATCTTAAGTCAAATGCAGTTAAACTTCTAAAATAATCGTCGTTTCTGCGATGCTCAGTATTATAAATGTTTAGAAGATGAATCCATCAATACTGGATGTTATCATTGTAGCTTCAAACACTTCGACAACTGAAATGTCACATTTGTTGTTTTAAAATAAGGTAACATAATTATTTCATCCAATATTGCATAATAAGTCTCATTTGAGTCTAGTTTCACTTACCTTTTGTGGATGCTGTTGGTTTTCAGACAACAACTGCCCCTCCGGGGTTAGTTATATAGGCTGTACGCAGAAGACTCAACCCATGAATATAAAATTAAACTCCTAGGCCTGTCCAGTTACATATAGAGTTCCTTGTAGTTCACGTGGTGCGCAAGATTGCATCGCCTATGCTTAAAATAAGCAAAAGTTGGTTTTACACTCCTCTTATGACATCATTCAAGAAGAAAAAGGAAACATCAAGATTCCACAATGATAACGCCTAATCTTCATTTACTACAGCAGAACTGTACTGCACAGAAAACTGAAGGCGGTTCATAAACGTTACATGCGTAAAAATAATTCTTGGAAATCAGCATGAAATGATCTTCATAAAAGACTTTTAGGAAATAGATCAGCATTATCATACCGTCTGGGATGTTCTGATATAATTTGTAACCGTAGAATAAACAGTCTTATTCGTAATACTTCAAAAGATAGTAAATAAGCATAACATCTTAGTTCATGGTCCGTATATTGAGTTGCATAATGAATGTTTTTTTCTAAACTACTTAAGTGTTTCTGTTATGCGAATCTTGCAACTATTGCCACAATAAACAATGCACCTTTGTTACAGTCATATAAACAAATTATATTTCTTCAACTCTTGACTAAGCTAAGCACCAAACTAAGTGGAAAACTTGGCAGAGAGTTGCGGGAAAAACATATCATACAACCTCGTTTCCAGACTACAGGCTAAAGTGGATTGCGATGAAGCAACTTATAGCCTGTGTTACCAGTATCACAGACGATATTAGTCTAAATCAAGAAGGTACACTGAACTAATTACGTGTGAATTCAAGAAACTGCAGAACCTGTAGACTAGTGCATGATGGTGACTAATATCTATGTGAACTCCTTACACACCACCCTCTCAATGATAATGGGTCATTCTTTTATCAGACGCCGAGGCAGAAATGAACATTATCCTAGCCAGTACTAAGTAGTGGCTTCGACCATCCCCTACAACTTCTTGCCACTAATTACCCGTCTTTCAAGACCTGGAGTCAAATATTCCTTGCCTTTAAACTTAGACCTGGGAGCACTTTCCCTTGCATCATCACTAATGTCACTATCGGCAACAACGGCATGGATAACTTGCACCCCTCTTAGTTGCCGGTGGATGCTAGTAAATACAGATTGACTGAATTACCACTGCACTTTGGCTCCGGTGTCATCACTTACTCCACTATGACTAATCAACTTTATACTAGCCCTGAATTGCCTAATTTGTTTAATTTAGAAGTTTACAACCAGCATCTACTGTTCATTGTGGGGTTTTGAATGTTCTCTACCACATTATGAAAATGGACCTACAAGCTTTCAATAAGCCAAGACGATTTTCATATGAATAACTGTAATCTGTCAAGTTGAGTTTTGAAAATCTGCCTGAAGTGGGGGGATAGTTACAGTTCTTAAGAGTTCACAGTCCTAACCCTTGCATTTTTTGAGAAGAATAACATGAATGCATATACTTGAGGTTATTTTTGATAACTCAGTCGCCCAACTGACACCCTTAGGGTAAATGAGGAAATTGATCCTAAGGCTAGGTATCTGGGAGTAGGGAATCGTTTAGTTACACAGTAAAGACATTTCAATCAGAGTTCAGATAATAAAGCTTTTCCCCGCAGATTACAACCTGTTTACAGCTAGCAACAACTTCTTACATAGCTATAACTGTTGCTCTACCTGATGTATTCAGTCACTCCATCCTGGACTCAGACAGATCATATTACAACAAGCTACAGACCACTTTTATTCATGGGTGAAATGCTTGAACTTTAAATATGCGTTAGTAATAGCCAAGTGCATTTTGCATGTTTATGGTTATCAAAATTGTCACCCCAGAAAGCTCAACGCAAACATATTGATCATTATCGATACTCCAACGAAATACTAAATCTAATCCGATTCAAGTTTGGCTGTTAAAGTATTGTTAGTTATAGGCTGAACTTACAAGACGGGTAAAGTTGCATTAGGCTTTGGAAACATTCCATCTTCACTACCACTCTTCGTCTAATCTCCACATTGCTCACATGCTCACTAGACCTAACGTAAGCAATGTTGCGAAGAAAGCTGAAGTTAAAAAGCAGTAATTTCTTTATATCATCTATCTTCGATGGTCATGTCTCACAACCGTTTAACAGGTCAGAACGAACTGCACAACAGTTAACTCGTCCT